CATGTCCCCCCTAAAGTCCTTGCCACGTCTTTTGGGTGACCGGGGATTGTCTAACACCAGAGGCCCCTTAATTCTAAATTTTTTTTCAGTTGGGAAACTTTTAATTGGGGGGAAAATTTAATTTTCTTTTTTTGCACCCCCAACCAAATTCATCCACCAATCTCTCAACTTCTTTTCAAAAATTTCCCCAAGAGAAAGTGTACAGAAAAGAGCAGCTGTGACAACTCCCATTTGTGTGTATTCTTTTTTTTTAACTCCACGCCTCTTGCCAGCCCTCGCATTTATTCTCTTACAACCCCATTTTAAATATTTAAACAACCACGGTGACATCCCCAAACCTTGTCTAAGGCCTACTTTTACTGGGAAAAAATTTCCCCTTTCCTACATACTCAACTTGGCCTCATTCCTCGTAAAAACTTTCATGCTTTCAGTCCCCTACCCCTACACCTACACTTGCACACTGCCACATTGCCCCCCTACCCACCCTTAAAACGCCTTTCCAAACCCATAAATCCCAAAAAGCCCCTCTTTACCCTTTATCAAAATATTTCACTTTAATTTTTTCACTGTAAACACCGGGGTCCACAACCCCCCCCTTTTCCCCTAAAGCCCCTTTTCATCTGCTATCCTATTCCCGCTTACTCTTAATTTTTTCATTTAAAATCTACCATACATTTTACCAGTACACTCAACAGACTTACCCCCCTTTAATTTTTGCATATCTTTTATCCCCTTTCCCTTTATACAAGGAATTTTTGCACTCTTCCAAAATCCTAGGTACCTTCCCCTTTTCCATCATTTATTAAATAATTGCACCAACCACCCCAAAAAAACTTTTCCCCCCCTGCTTTTAACTTTCTATTTTTAAATCCATCAATTCGGCTCCCTTGCCCCCTTTCATTTTACCTACGCCTCCAAACTTCCCCACCTCAAACGGGCTCTTCCTCACCCCTACAAGAGTTATTCCTCCTTGCCCTATACACGAAACACAGCTTCCCTATCTTCTAAACTTAACAATTTCCCTCAAAATTTTCCCTCCATTTTCCCCAAATACCCTAACTCTCCTTTTAATAACTCCCTTCCTTTTTTAAACTGACAAATCCTTTTGTTCTCTAGGCTTTCTTAACTTGTTAATCTCACTCCAAAACTTTTTCTTTTTTTCAACAAATTTGTTTTATAACATCCACCCACTCTCTCATTTGCTCTTTTTTACATTGCTTCACCCTCTCTTAACTTCTCTTTTTTCTCCATATACTCTTCCCCCCCTTTCATCACTTTACTTTTTAAAAACTTCTCATATGCTAACTTTTTCTCCCTTATTCACTCTTTACACTTCCACCAATGCTTTCCCTCCCGCACCCCTTTCCTGTAACCCAAACTTCTGTGAAAAAAACCCCCAACACACATTTTTTAAACCCACCCCAAACCCCTTCGCCCCCTTGCCTATGCTCTCTTAGCCCATCTATCCTCCAAAGCTGTTTAATCTACCCTACTCCTCCTTTTTGTTTTAAACCTTTACCTCTCTTTCCCGTGTTTTATTTCCCTTTTATCCCATCTACCTTTTTTCTCTCGTGTGCTACAACTAGAAAGTGTCGATATTCTGTGGCCCCCTCTATAAAATGTACATCCTGAAGCTACTCAACAGTTTTTTTCTACCAAAAACTAATCCCAAAAAACACTGTCTTTTTGCCAAAATCAACGGTTTTTACTTATTTTCCCTTTTTCTTAAAATTTTGTATACCCTTTAATAAACCCCCCTTTTTATAAAAGTTCAATCAAAGGGTCCCCTTACATTTTCCCTGGGACCCCAAACTTTTCCACCCCCACCCTCTCTAAATTTCTCCTCTTTAGCATTCAAAATCCCCACCACAATTCTCTCTCACTTGGTTCAAACTCCAAAACATTCCCCTTAAACCTCCCCAAAAATTTTTTTTCCCCTGATTCCTCTCTTTCCGGGCCTACCCCGCTTATTAACCCACTTCTCCTTCCACCTTATTTTCCACATAACTTTGAAACAATTCTATTCCTTTCCCCTTTCCCCAAATGACTTTAAATTTGTCCCCTTTTGTAAAACTCTCCGATACCCAGAATTTTTAATCCTTTTTTCCCCCCATGAAATTCCCTCCCCTTTATTTTGTTTTGTTAGGGGGACATCCAATTTTTTCTTCTCATGAATCACTTTTTTTTCCCATAACCCCCGAAAACCCCCTTTTAAAATTTTTTTTTTTCTTTTTTAGAATTGGGTAAAACAGGGGGGGAAGGGGTTCCCCCAAATGCTCCCGGCATTTTGCGCCTTAAACGAGGGTTTAAGGAAAATTTTTTTCCACCCCCGGGACTTTAGAAAAATAAAAAGAAAGAGTATTTGAAAAAGGAGGAAAAAAGAAGATTTAAATAGCATGGCCGGAAAGGTAACCAAAATTAAGTAGGAGAGAAAGAATGTTATTGCGGTTTATGAGACAGAAAAAGAAAACCCCAACCCCTACTAGAAAACAGAAAAGGGGTTTTTTTGTTTAATATTGGAGGAAGGTATAATTCCCGGGGGTTGTGTCCCAATATACCATTGAAAAATTTTATTTTTTTTTAAAAAAAAAAATAATTTTTACAATCCTTTTTTGTAAAAAGAGATTGAAAATTTTAAGGGGAAAAAGTTTACTGAAAACCCGGGAAAAAAATATACGGTGGGGTTAAAATTGAAAGAATAGAGGTAAATAGAAGTAGTTGCGGATGAGCGGAGCTTCAGAGTGGGGGGGGGGATGTGTAATAAAGTGTTTCATTGAAGCAAATGTGAACACATTTAGATAAAGGTGGGAAAGTTTTTTATTGCATTTAGGATTTAGAAAAGGAAATTTGTGAGTGGATAGAGGAGCGTGCAGATGTTGCAAGTATATGGAATAGGTGGTAAGTTACTAAATGCTGTTAAGAGTTTTTATGAGGATAGTGAGGCTCAGGTTAGGGTGTGTAGAAGAGAGGGAGAATACTTCCCGGTAAAAGTAGGTCTTAGACAGGGATGTGTAATGTCACCATGGTTGTTTAATATATTTATAGATGGGGTTGTAAAAGAAGTAAATGCTAGGGTGTTCGGGAGAGGGGTGGGATTAAATTATGGGGAATCAAATTCAAAATGGGAATTGACACAGTTACTTTTTGCTGATGATACTGTGCTTATGGGAGATTCTAAAGAAAAATTGCAAGGGTTAGTGGATGAGTTTGGGAATGTGTGTAAAGGTAGAAAGTTGAAAGTGAACATAGAAAAGAGTAAGGTGATGAGGGCATCAAATGATTTAGATAAAGAAAAATTAGATATCAAATTGGGGAGGAGGAGTATGGAAGAAGTGAATGTTTTCAGATACTTGGGAGTTGACGTGTCGGCGGATGGATTTATGAAGGATGAGGTTAATCATAGAATTGATGAGGGAAAAAAGGTGACCGGTGCGTTGAGGTATATGGGGAGTCAAAAAACGCTATCTATGGAGGCAAAGAAGGGAATGTATGAAAGTATAGTGGTACCAACACTCTTATATGGTATATGGATGTGAAGCTTGGGTGGTAAATGCAGCAGCGAGGAGACAGTTGGAGGCAGTGGAGATGTCCTGTCTAAGGGCAATGTGTTTATCTGGAGTTTATCTGGAGAGAGTTCCGGGGGTCAACGCCCCCGCGGCCCGGTCTGTGACCAGGCCTCCTTAGGTCAGTGTCCCAGGATGCGACCCACACCAGTCGACTAACACCCAGGTACCCATTTTACTGATGGGGAACATAGACAACAGGTGGAAAGAAACACGTCTGTGGTGTAAATATTATGCAGAAAATTCGGAGTGTGGAAATTAGGAGGTGTGGGGTTAATAAAAGCATTAGTCAGAGGGCAGAAGAGGGGTTGTTGAGGTGGTTTGGTCATTTAGAGAGAATGGATCAAAGTAGAATGACATGGAAAGCATATAAATCTATAGGGAAAGGAAGGAGGGGTAGGGGTCGTCCTCGAAAGGGTTGGAGAGAGGGGGTAAAGGAGGTTTTGTGGGTGAGGGGCTTGGACTTCCAGCAAGCGTGCGTGAGTGTGTTAGATAGGAGTGAATGGAGACGAATGGTACTTGGCACCTGACGATCTGTTGGAGTGTGAGCAGGGTAACATTTAGTGAAGGGATTCAAGGAAACCGGTTATTTTCATACAGTCGGACTTGAGTCCTGGAAATGGGAAGTACAATCCCTGCACTTTAAAGGAGGGGTTTGGGATATTGGCAGTTTGGAGGGATATGTTGTGTATCTTTATACGTATATGCTTCTAAACTGTTGTATTCTGAGCACCTCTGCAAAAACAGTGATAATGTGTGAGTGTGGTGAAAGTGTTGAGTGATGATGAAAGCATTTTCTTTTTGGGGATTTTCTTTCTTTTTTGGGTCACCCTGCAATATGAAAATAATGTAGTTTACATGTAATAAAACATGGGTAGTCACACAAGAAAGTGACTGGTGTGCAATGCATTTCATGCAAACTAAACCTAGTGCCTAAAGACTACTTATGAACTAGATAGACTATTTAGTAGAATTTCTTATGCAGTTAAATACAATTATATGTACAATAAGAAATGTAGCTAATGAGCAAATGGTACATTTTCAATGATTTTATTTAGTGGAGTGGCTGAATAGAGATGGTGAAGATACAGGAAGTTACAGAGTTACAGTAGAAATACAGTGGTATCTCGGGATACAAACCTAATTCGTTCCAGAAGGCTGTTCGAGTGCCGATCTGTTCAAGTACTGAACGAATTTGTTCCCATAAGGAATAATGTAAAGTAGATTAGTCCGTTTTAGACCCCAAAAATACGCTTACAAAAGGACTTACAAAAATACAGTTACATAACTGTTAAAGTTCATATCCCAAGGTACCACTGTATAATGGAACAAGACGAGTAAGGCAAAATGTTTCGGAATAAAGACATGTTAAAGTTACACTTGTCTTGCTTATCACGGTGATATACAGAGGGGGAGAGAGAGAGATCTCACACTCACCGTCTCTGCTAGAACGTCAAATACATGTGTCAGATGCTCGGCACTTGGCTTGCCAGTGGGGTCCGCCTTGTGTGTCGCGCCACTCTGCCCTGATGACACATGGCACTGCATGCTAGACTCACCCTCAGACACACTCTTGATGAACACTGACATGTCGCAAGTAGCACTTTCCCTCATGGGTGCCTCCGAAGAGGTGTCATTGCCACAGGAGAATGTTTCTTTACTGCTGTCATAAGTAGTAAATGCCTCACTACAGCCACTGTTTACAGAGACTGACTCTTCACTGTACCCGGGGCAAGACAGTGACACTGTATCCAAGACCTGGCTCTCGATTTCACTGTATGACACAGAGTACAGGATGTCACTGCCCCGGTGGTACGTGCCCCGGGGGTACCACAGGGCATCAGCTGGTAGACGGAATGTTCTGACGCTGGTGTTTGTGTCGCGGCACACCAGTCTTCCTGAGACGTAATCCTGAAACACATAAACGTACGTCAAATGCAGCCATTAGTGTATCGTTTGGATGCTGACGATACGATGACTGTTGTAAACAAAGAGGTTGTTTCCCACTGGGGTAGGGCAACCCTAAACGAGGAAACACATCCACAATCATTCACTCAATCACCATCTTGCCAGAAGCAGTTCTGATAACTGAACTATAACACCTTCATGAAGGTGAAAGCACTAAACTTATAGGGGGGTCACACAGCACCTTGGGAAAAGCAAAACACCAGGCTTATCACTTGTTAAGTGTAATTTGAAACCACTGATGAATGGCAGTATGAGATGTGTAGCACTTGTTCAACCACTGAATCCAATGGTCAACTAATTATGTATTCCAGTGGTCAAGCACAGGTGTTCTGAGTACCCAATAAAGGCTGTGAAACGTGTTGCAAACACGCACCTGACCCTGGTGACAGGTGTGGTGTGCCGGGAAGCTGCCGAGGGGGTCGAAGCAGTGAAAGTGTGGTCCAGTGGCACTAAGCCTCTCCAACAGGTCACTGCTGACGTCTTCGGCCTGTCATAACAAGGAAGAAATTTGGCTGGTGTTCACAGTTTTGGGATAACTATAATGACTGGAAGATACATCAAGCACAAGTATTCACACAATTACATCAATTTCAAATCTGTCAAGGAAAAGAGGACAGTTATCATCCACTATTATGAGCAGCAGTTATTGGGTCTTAAGGAGCAGTTATAATAATAATAATAATATTTATTTCTACAAGTGCATTATACAATTTATACATATCATAGCTGACATCAATGACATACTACAGCCTCTCCTTACTTAGTGACGTACTTGTTTACCGATGACTCAGACTTACGGCGGTCTCTGTAACCAGTTTCCATACTAAATAATGTATGTATATTAGAGCTGATTTCCTCTATTCTGTTTATTATAATATACAGTACCCTACTGAATAAACATTTAAAAATATACCAGAAATGTTATAAATGGTCCAAAGGTGACATTAAAACAATATCAAAGATGGTTGACACAAACCCACCACCATTATAGTATGCTCCTCACTTAGTGACGAATTTGTTTACTGATGTGGTCTTAGGAACGGAACTGTTAAGTGAGGAGAGGGTAGAGATAGAAAGCCCCTGGTTATACTTGGAGCATTCTTGGGAGCACTGACCCAAGGGTCAATGCTTCCATGGCCCGATCCGTGACCACACCTCGCGGTGGATCAGGGCCTGATCAACCAGGATGTTACTGCTGGCTGCACATGAACTGATATACGAACCCCAGGCCAGCTCACCAGGCACTGCCTTAGGTGCCTGTCCAGCGCCTTCTTGAAGACAGCTAGGGGTGTATTGGTAATCCCCCTTATTCAAAAAATTTCAAAATTCAAAATTTTTATTTCTTTGCATGTCATACAGTGTGTAGTTTACATGTAATAAAATACTGTGAACACAAAGAAAGTTACTAGCATGCATCAGCATTTTGGGCATACTAATCCTAATGCTTACAGATTACTTGAAAACTAGACACAGGTTATAGAGTGGTAAAATTTTTATGTATCACAAATTTTTTTTTATAATTAATAAAATTTATGCTGGGAGGCAGCTGAACAGTCTTGGGCCCCTGACACTTATTGTGTTGTCTCTTAGCATGCTCGTGGTGCCCGTACTTTTCATTGGGGTGATGTTGCATCACCTTCCCAGTCTTTTGCTTTTGTACGGAGTGATTTTCCATGTGCAGAAGAGCATATTGGGCATGTGACTCACATCATTCGGCTAACAGCCAGGTACTTATTTGCTGCTAGGTGAACAGGGACAGCAGATGTCTTAAAGAAACATGCCCCAATGCTTCCACCTGTACCGGGGATCAAACCATGGACCTCAATGTGTGAGCTGAGTGTGCTACTGAGCTATGAGACAGTAGAGCTTATTCATGGCTAGGAAGATGCCAGGGAGCTGAATGATACATATGTCTCTCAACAGCTCAGTAATGAGACGAATAAACAACGTATCACAGAATGACAGTCACCGACACCTAAAGTTAGTACCTGACCAATATTTGCTATACAGTTGGACGATGTTGCATTGGTGTTTGCACTATCCATGGTTGAAGGGGACTTCAAAAACCGGTTATTTTTTTTTTTGCAAGACTCTCAATATCACCACAAAGGCTGAGGATGTGTTCAAACTCACGTTCAAAATTGTAAGAAATTTCTTTGGTTTGTCTTGGGCGAGTCTTATGAGTGTCACCATTAATGATGCTTCTGCCATGCTAGGCCAAGCTCAGCCTCCAAACATTCATATTCAAATTAAACATTTATTTCTTTTTATGTGGTACCAAGATAATGTACGAATAACCCGCACATAGGAAAGAGAACCTTCGATGAGGTGCCAGGCCAACTTGGATCATTTATAAGTCACACTAACACAAGAGAGGGGGGGAGGAAGCCAGGATATATACAGGTGAACTGGACAGGGACGGCACCAAGACAGGAAGAAAAAGTAGTAATGGTTAGTGGTAAGGCTGGTAGTGCGGCTTATTTGTACAGTGGACCCCTGGTTTACGATATTATTTCATTCTAGAAGTACAGTGGACCCCCGCATACAGTTGGCCTTACATAACGTTAAATCCGCATACCGATACATTTTATCACTAAGATTTTGCCTCGCATACCGCTAAAAAACCCGCTCAACGCTGTTCGTCCGAGACGCGTCTAATGTGCGGCCTGAGCCAGCCTCACATGTTCCGCCGGTGGCATTGTTTACCAGCCAGCCTCCGCGGTAACATCCAAGCATACAATCGGAACATTTCGTATTATTACAGTGTTTTTGGTGATTTTATCTGCAAAATAAGTGACCATGGGCCCCAAGAAAGCTTCTAGTACCAACCCTACAGCAATAAGGGTGAGAATTACTATAGAGATGAAGAAAGAGATCAATGATAAGCATGAAAGTGGAGTGCGTGTCTCCGAGCTGGCCAGGTCGTATAATAAACCCCAATCAACCATCGCTACTATTGTGGGCAACAAAACGGCAATCAAGGAACTGTTCTTGCCAAAGGTTCAACTGTGTTTTCGAAACAGAGATCGCAAGTGATGGAAGATGTTGAGAGACTCTTATTGGTATGGATAAATGAAAAACAGATAGCAGGAGATAGCATCTCTCAAGTGATCATAAGTGAAAAGGCTAGGAAGTTGCATGAGGATTTAATTAAAAAAAAAGCCTGCAACTAGTGATGATGTGAGTGAAATTTAAGGCCAGCAAAGGTTGGTTTGAGAGATTTAAGAAGCATAGTGGCATACATAGTGTGATAAGGCATGGTGAGGCTGCCAGTTTTTGGGCCACAAAGCAGCTGAAAAATATGTGCAGGAATTCAAGGAGTACATAGACAGTGAAGGACTGAAACCTGAACAAGTGTTTAATTGTGATGAAACAGGCCTGTTTTGGAAGAAAAATGCCAAGCAGGACCTACATTACTCAGGAGGAAAAGGCACTCCCAGGACATAAGCCTATGAAAGACAGGCTCACTCTGTTGATGTGTTCCAATGCTACTGGTGATTGCAAAGTGAAGCCTTTATTAGTGTATCACTCAGAAACTCCCAGAGCGTTCAGGCAAAAGAATATCCTCAAGGCTAATTTGTGTGTGCTGTGGAGGGCAAACAGTAAGGCATGGGTCACTAGGGACTTTTTCTGTGACTGGTTACACCATGCATTTGCCCCAATGTGAAAGATTACCTAACTGAAAAGAAATTAGACCTTAAGTGCCTCCTGGTGTTAGACAATGCCCCTGGTCATCCTACAGACGTGGCAGAGCGACTTTATGGGGACATGAGCTTCATTAAGGTGAAGTTTTTGCTTCCTAATACCACTCCTCTCCTGCAGCCCATGGACCAGCAGGTTATTGCAAACTTCAAAAAACTGTACACAAAAGCTCTGTTTGAAAGGTGCTTTATAGTGACCTCAGAAACTCAACTGACTCTAAGAGAGTTTTGGAGAGAGCACTTTAATATCCTCAATTGTGTAAACCTTATAGGTAAGGCTTGGGAGGGAGTGACTAAGAGGACCTTGAACTCTACTTGGAAGAAACTGTGGCCAGAATGTGTAGACCAAAGGAATTTTGAAGGGTTTCAGGCTAACCCTGAGAGGAGTATGCCAGTTGAGGAATCCATTGTGGCATTGGGAAAGTCCTTGGGATTGGAGGTTAGTTGGGATGATGTGGAAGAGTTGGTGGAGGAGGACAATGAAGAACTAACCACTGATAAGCTGATAGATCAACTTCAACAGCAAGAGGCCAGACCTAAGGAAACTGGTTCGGAGGAGGGGAGAGAGAAATTGAAGAAGTTGCCTACTACAAAGATTAAGGAAATCTGTGCAATGTGGCTGAAAGTGCAAACCTTTATGGATGAAAATCACCCTCACACAGCTATCGCAAGCCGTGCTGGTGACTATTACACTGACAATGTTGTGAAACACTTTAGGGAAGTCATAAAGGAACGAGAGGTACAGGCCACTATGGACAGATATGTTGTGCGACAGAAGTCCAGTGACTCTGAAGCTGGTCCTAGTGGCATTAAAAGAAGAAGGGAAGTAACCCCAGAAAAGGACTTGACACCTCAAGTCTTAATGGGAAGGGATTCCCCTTCTAAACACTAACACTCTCTCTCCCCTCCTCCCATCCCATCAATCATCACCAGATCTTCAATAAAGGTAAGTGTCATGTAATCGTGCATGCCTTTTTCAGTTTGTGTGTATTAAAATTAATATTTCATGTGGTAAAATTTTTTTTTTCATACTTTGGGGTGTCTTGCACGGATTAATTTGATTTCCATTATTTCTTATGGGGAAAATTCATTCGCATAACGATAATTTTGCATAACAATGAGCTCTCAGGAACGGATTAATATCGTTATGCGGGGGTCCACTGTATGTTCAGGTGCCAGTACTGAACGAATTTGTTCCCATAAGGAATATTGTGAATTAGATTAGTCCATTTCAGACCCCCAAACATACACGTACAAACGCACTTAAATAAATACACTTACATAATTGGTCGCATTGGGAGGTGATCGTAAAGCGGGTGTCCACTGTATATTGTTCCTGTCATGGTATTATGCCTTTTAGTTCTTCAAAGATAATGTAGTTTACATATAATAAAACATTGTTAGACACAAAAAGTCACTAGTATGTAATGCATTTCAGGCAAATTAATTCTAAGGCTTAAAGACTACTTAAGAATTAGACAATTAAGTAGGATTTCTTGTGCAATTAACTACATTATATGTACAATAAGAAAGACAGTTTAATGAATACATGGTACAATTTTAAAAGCTCGACTTATTATTTCAAACTGATTCAATGAGGTTCGGTTAAGTAGGATTTCATAAGCAGTTAACTACACTGGTGAAATAACACAAATGGTGACTAGAGATCACTGCTTTATCCATGTAAAACACTGGAATCAAAAACATTACTGGGACACTGGAACACAGTTTTTGAAGAGATGATGAAAGATGTCAACTGCATTATCAGCTGTGAAGACTAGGCTACTGAAAAGACTTTGGAACATGGGTTTGAACTCTGACGTGTTGCTGTTCTAGACTTCTGAACGGTGGTTGTCAGTAGGGAACGTACTCAATAGAACTTTCCAATCAAGAGTGGAGTTGGATTTATTTCTCCATGCTCAAGGGAAAAACGAATTCTGAAATGTGTGGACATGGTCAAATCTAGAACTTACATATTTTGTTAATATTTCTGGGATCTTGAACAATCTGAATCATCAGCTGCAAGGAAAAAGTGAAAATCTGTTCTCTCACTGCGACATCGTTGAGACTTTTCCTAAGGAGTTGGAACACTGGTTTGTAACATAAAATGGTAATCAAATTACAAAACTGGTCAGATTTGAACCTATGCAAGAGAGTCCTAAAACTCACAGGTTAATTAACCACTCAACCAGCTGAGTTAACACACAGGTCTGTGAATTTCAGCACTCACTTGCCATGGGTTTAACTCCCACCATTCCATGATTTGTTTGCAATTGTGTTATTGCAATTTTGAGAGTCATGAGACTAAGGTAATAATTTGGCTCAATTTACACATGTGGATGCCATGCTGGGGGGAAAAGGAAATAATTCGACCACAAAAGTCTTGATCATTTACAGAAGCCAAGGGACAAAATCTATCGATACTATCCAGAGGAGGACAGGACGCAGGATGGATCTTTCAACACAAACCACTCTCAACCGCAAGCACAAGACTAGAGAGGCAGGTACCTGCTTGAGATGCAGCAAGTGGGACTCATGTAGAAGGGCAGCTGAGGTGTTCGACGAGGAGAGGTCAGGAGTGGATCCTGTGCACGAGTCCTGCTGTTGAAGCTGCTGCTGTTGCTGTGCCAACACACTTGCAGTGCTGCTCAGGTGGATCGGTGTTGATGGGGCACTCTGAACACACCCCTGGTAATACAACCACTCAGATCAGCATTACGCTAACAGGGAGCACAGTGTAATAATCAAAGACTGCTTCTTAGGGAATTACAGATAATAACAACAGTTTGCACTGTACAATATTGTTAGTTGCACATCTCAGATAGTTAGTCCTCTTATAAAGCTCCTCTATATACAGTCAGCTCTCTTTACAAGCCTACTCTATACAGTTAGCTCTTTAAAAGCTCCTCTATACAGTCAGTTCTCTTAAAAAGCTACTCTATATACAGTCAACTCTCTTATATGGCTCCCCTATATTTGTCAACTCTTTTTTAAAGCTCCTCTATATAGTCAGCTCTCTTGCAAAGCTCCTCTATGGCACAAAATAATGTAGTTTACATGTAAAACATTATTAGGCACAAGTAGTATACAAAGTAGTTTAGGTAAACTAATGCTAATGATGATAGACTACTTAAGAACTAGACAGACTATTAGGTACGATTACTTACGTAGTTAAGTACAATTACATGAACAATATGGTACATAATGAACAAATGGTACGATTTCAGAATGAATCGGAACGAGTACGTCAGAAGAGTTGCAGTTGTAAAATTTGAGGTAGTAGGTTGGTAGACAGCAACCACCCAGGGAAGTACTACTGTCCTGCCAGATGACTGTGAAACAGAAACCTGTAACTGTTTTGCATGATGGTAGGATTGCTGTTTTCTTTTTCTGTCTCATAAACACGCTAGATAACAGGGATATCTTGCTACTCCTACTTACACTTTGGTCACACTTCACAGACACGCACATGCATATATATATACATACATCTAGGTTTTTCTCCTTTTTCTAAATAGCTCTTGTTCTTCTTTATTTCTTCTATTGTCCATGGGGAAGTGGAAAAGAATCTTTCCTTCGTAAGCCATGCGTGTCGTATGAGGCGACTAAAATGCCGGGAGCAATGGGCTAGTAACCCCTTCTCCTGTAGACATTTACTAAAAAAGAGAAGAAGAAAAACTTTATAAAACTGGGATGCTTAAATGTGCGTGGATGTAGAGCGGATGACAAGAAACAGATGATTGCTGATGTTATGAATGAAAAGAAGTTGGATGTCCTGGCCCTAAGCAAAACAAAGCTGAAGGGGGTAGGAGAGTTTCAGTGGGGGGAAATAAATGGGATTAAATCTGGAGTATCTGAGAGAGTTAGAGCAAAGGAAGGGGTAGCAGTAATGTTGAATGATCAGTTATGGAAGGAGAAAAAAGAATATGAATGTGTAAATTCAAGAATTATGTGGATTAAAGTAAAGGTTGGATGCGAGAAGTGGGTCATAATAAGCGTGTATGCACCTGGAGAAAGAGGAATGCAGAGGAGAGAGAGAGATTTTGGGAGATGTTAAGTGAATGTATAGGAGCCTTTGAACCAAGTGAGAGAGTAATTGTGGTAGGGGACCTGAATGCTAAAGTAGGAGAAACTTTTAGAGAGGGTGTGGTAGGTAAGTTTGGGGTGCCAGGTGTAAATGATAATGGGAGCCCTTTGATTGAACTTTGTATAGAAAGGGGTTTAGTTATAGGTAATACATATTTTAAGAAAAAGAGGATAAATAAGTATACAAGATATGATGTAGGGCGAAATGACAGTAGTTTGTTGGATTATGTATTGGTAGATAAAAGACTGTTGAGTAGGCTTCAGGATGTACATGTTTATAGAGGGGCCACAGATATATCAGATCACTTTCTAGTTGTAGCTACACTGAGAGTAAAAGGTAGATGGGATACAAGGAGAATAGAAGTATCAGGGAAGAGAGAGGTGAAGGTTTATAAACTAAAAGAGGAGGCAGTTAGGGTAAGATATAAACAGCTATTGGAGGATAGATGGGCTAATGAGAGCATAGGCAATGGGGTCGAAGAGGTATGGGGTAGGTTTAAAAATGTAGTGTTAGAGTGTTCAGCAGAAGTTTGTGGTTACAGGAAAGTGGGTGCGGGAGGGAAGAGGAGCGATTGGTGGAATGATGATGTAAAGAGAGTAGTAAGGGAGAAAAAGTTAGCATATGAGAAGTTTTTACAAAGTAGAAGTGATGCAAGGAGGGAAGAGTATATGGAGAAAAAGAGAGAGGTTAAGAGAGTGGTGAAGCAATGTAAAAAGAGGGCAAATGAGAGAGTGGGAGATGTTATCAACAAATTTTGTTGAAAATAAGAAAAAGTTTTGGAGTGAGATTAACAAGTTAAGAAAGCCTAGAAAACAAATGGATTTGTCAGTTAAAAATAGGAGAGGAGAGTTATTAAATGGAGAGTTAGAGGTATTGGGAAGATGGAGGGAATATTTTGAGGAATTGTTAAATGTTGATGAAGATAGGGAAGCTGTGATTTCGTGTATAGGACAAGCAGGAATAACATCTTGTAGGAGTGAGGAAGAGCCAGTTGTGAGTGTGGGGGAAGTTCGTGAGGCAGTAGGTAAAATGAAAGGGGGTAAGGCAGCCGGGATTGATGGGATAAAGATAGAAATGTTAAAAGCAGGTGGGGATATAGTTTTGGAGTGGTTGGTGCAATTATTTAATAAATGTATGGAAGAGGGTAAGGTACCTAGGGATTGGCAGAGAGCATGCATAGTTCCTTTGTATAAAGGCAAAGGGGATAAAAGAGAGTGCAAAAATTATAGGGGGATAAATCTGCTGAGTATACCTGGTAAAAGTGTATGGTAGAGTTGTTATTGAAAGAATTAAAAGTAAGACGGAGAATAGGATAGCAGATGAACAAGGAGGCTTTAGGAAAGGTAGGGGGTGTGTGGACCATGTGTTTACAGTGAAACATATAAGTGAACAGTATTTAGATAAGGCTAAAGAGGTCTTTGTGGCATTTATGGATTTGGAAAAGGCGTATGACAGGGTGGATAGGGGGGCAATGTGGCAGATGTTGCAAGTGTATGGTGTAGGAGGTAGGTTACTGAAAGCAGTGAAGAGTTTTTACGAGGATAGTGAGGCTCAAGTTAGAGTATGTAGGAAAGAGGGAAATTTTTTCCCAGTAAAAGTAGGCCTTAGACAAGGATGTGTGATGTCACCGTGGTTGTTTAATATATTTATAGATGGGGTTGTAAGAGAAGTAAATGCGAGGGTCTTGGCAAGAGGTGTGGAGTTAAAAGATAAAGAATCACACACAAAGTGGGAGTTGTCACAGCTGCTCTTTGCTGATGACACTGTGCTCTTGGGAGATTCTGAAGAGAAGTTGCAGAGATTGGTGGATGAATTTGGTAGGTGTGTGCAAAAGAAGAAAATTAAAGGTGAATACAGGAAAGAGTAAGGTTATGAGGATAACAAAAAGATTAGGTGATGAAAGATTGAATATCAGATTGGAGGGAGAGAGTATGGAGAAGGTGAATGTATTCAGATATTTGGGAGTGGACGTGTCAGCGGATGGGTCTATGAAAGATGAGGTGAATCATAGAATTGATGAGGGGAAAAGAGTGAGTGGTGCACTTAGGAGTCTGTGGAGACGAAGAACTTTGTCCTTGGAGGCAAAGAGGGGAATGTATGAGAGTATAGTTTTACCAACGCTCTTATATGGGTGTGAAGCATGGGTGATGAATGTTGCAGCGAGGAGAAGGCTGGAGGCAGTGGAGATGTCATGTCTGAGGGCAATGTGTGGTGTGAATATAATGCAGAGAATTCGTAGTTTGGAAGTTAGGAGGAGGTGCGGGATTACCAAAACTGTTGTCCAGAGGGCTGAGGAAGGGTTGAGTTGGTTCGGTCATGTAGAGAGGAATGGAGCAAAACAGGAATGACTTAAGAGTGGATCAGTCTGTAGTGGAAGGATGGCGGAGGTAGGAGTCGGCCTAGACAGGTTGGAGAGGTGGGTGGTAAAGGAGGTTTTGTGTGCGAGGGGGCTTGGACTTCCAGCAGGCATTGCGTGAGCGTGTTTGATAGGATGAATGGAGACAAATGGTTTTTTTATACTGCGTGCTGTTGGGTGTGAGCAAAGTTAACATTTATGAAGGGGTTAAGGGAAACCGGCAGGACCGGATTGGAGTCCAGGAGAAGATGGGAAGTACAATGCCTGCACTTGAAGGAGGGGTGTTAATGTTGCAGTATTTAAAAACTGTAGTGTAAAGCACCATTCTGCAAGACAGTTGATGGAGTGAATGATGGTGAAAAGTTTTCTTTTTCGGGGCCACCCTGCCTTTGTGGGAATCGGCCAGTGTGTTAATAATTATAATAAAAATCTACTGAACGAGTAATGAGCAATGTAAGCATCTTACAGCAGCCAGGGTACTGTAAAAACCTTGATATAAAGGATAAATAGTGGGGGATCATCGGACTGTGCATTAAATTAAGAACCTTTAAAAATAGCAAAACAAAAACAAGCCTTTTATATGTCTATATTAAAAAAAAGTCCTGGAGAGCAAAACGTTGCCACAATAAAATGTTACATTAGTTGTATTTGTGTCCTTTTACTTAACTTACTGTTGGTAATTCTACCAATATTAATACATTGTACATCTAATGTAGTAGTATTATACCATCGATTTACAGACATATAATAAGCACTGAAATTAATGGAGTTGAAAGTGTGATTTATCTGGGAGATTGTAGGATTTTAAGAGTCTGTTATCCTGAAAGTTTACTCTACCGTGGTTAGAAAAATTACTTTAAATGCTACGGTATTTTATAAAATATCTGACCTACTGCTTATATTTTTAAACAGAGTTTGGTTAGAAAAGTAGGTATATGGTCGGAAGAAAAATGTGCGAGAGAGAAATGTTGTGGCTAATTGTCTGTCTTGAAAACCGATGTTTGCACGTTAATATATAATTAAAAGAGGGCATGAATTTTCCCTGGTGTGTCCAAATAATAATAATAAAAATAACTAATAATAATTATTAATACTAATTATATACATATACATTTTATGTGTAATCAATAAAGGCATTTAAAATTAGTACTGAAATGTACTTCCATGAGTGTACACCTATTTACCTCAGGCTGTGTACATTATTAACATGTTGATCTGTGTGTACACCCAACCTTGTGCATGTCAACATAAGTCTGTGTACACCCAACCTTGTGCATGTCAACATAAGTCTGTGTACACCCAACCTTGTGCATGTCAACATAAGTCTGTGTACACCTATGTTTGTGTCTACACCTATGCACTTATTTGTGTATACTATAACCATATTTATGTAGATTTGTATGTACACCATGGTGTAAAGATGTGTACAATCACTGAATATTCCTCCTGTGTATGTATTCCCCCTGTATGCACTTGTGCCTATGTATACCAGATGTACACTCCATGTATGGACACCCCTTGTAGGTACACTTAAGTGTTCTGTACATCCAAATATATACATAGAATTTACCGACGCACTAATTACACTGACATGTACAGCATACTGTGTACACCCAGTTCATTGTACAAGACTTGTACCTCTGTCCAAGTACCCAGTCAAGTGGATACAGTGTACACCCCATATACATCATAGTACAACCACCATATATTTCCCAGTGTACAACCTCTCATGTACACCAACTCCATACATAAACCATGATATACACTCCATATTCACACATAACACCCTAGTACACCCACATACACAACCTAGTACACTGCATCAATGTACACAAGTATACCCAAATACTACAACAGGGTTTCACAAAGGGTCCAGACACAGGTCCAGTGCAGTGTCTTGTTCACATGAAATGCGACATACAGAAGGAGAAATTCAGAGTGTTCCTCTTCACAGACGATGTGAAGCTGATGAGGAGGAATACAAGCGGTAGAGGATTAAGGTAAAGACTACAAGGCATCTGGGGATAGGTGGAAGCCTGGTGTTGAAAAGGCTCCTGGGTTTAACTCGAGCTAATGCAAAGTTAGGAAGCTTGGGAAGGACAAAGGAGACCACAGACAGAGTACAGGCCTAAGAAGTCAGAGGCTGCAAAACTATCAAGAAAAGGGATCTTGGGGTACCATCTTACAAGGGACATCTCTGAGAGTGCCATCTTCAAAAAACTGCTGAGCTACAGGTGCCTGGCAAACATTTAGAATGTTTTTCGACATCTAAAAAGGAGTATTCACGACATTTACACCGTGTACGTCAGGCATATGGGTATGCATACATTATGTAACCCCATTTTCAAGCACATCAATACAAAATATAAATATAACTAAATTACAAACAAATTATTCAATATTAATACAACAATTATTATGATAACTTTTACAAAACTTAACATTATTACTCTTACCCTATTTTAATACAATAACCATCCCCAAAAAACATAAATAATAAACTTAACCTTTTTTACCCTTTTTTCCCCTTTTTTTTTTTTTTTTTTTAAAAAATTTTAAGGGGGGTGGGGAAAATTTTTGTGTGGGGTAAAATCGACAGGATGTTCTACAGTGAGACATAGAAATAAGGTTGGTCACACTGAAAGCTGACTACTCAGATGAATCATAGAGACTTATTGCTAGGATGTATTTCTTCAGTCATAGAGTTGTCAGGAAGTGGAAACTATCGTGCAGAATGATGAAGTGGAGGCAGAGCCCAATACTTAGTTTTAAGAAGAGGTATGATAAAGCTCATGGACCAGGGAGAGAGGAGGACACATTAGTGCAGTAGCAACCAGTGAAGAAGGCAGGACAAAGAGCTATGAACTCGATTCCTGCAACTCCACTAATAGAGTGTAGTACACAGATTGTACAACCTGGCACAGCACGTACCACAATGGCACAGCCTCATACACCCTGGCGCTGCCATGTACACACTAGGCATCAGGCCACGTTCGACTCACTGGTGCTGCCTCATACACCCTGGCGCAGCCATTACACAGCTGGCACTGCAAGTTTACAACCGGGCACTGCCACATTACACACTGGCGAAGCCATGTACACACTGGCAAGCCACGTACACCCTGCGTGCAGCCAAATTCCACCTGGCACAGCCACGTACACCCTGGTGCAGCCACATACACCCTGGCGCAGCCATGTACACCCTGGCACAGCCACCATACACCCTGGCGCTGTCACTTACTTCCTGGCGCACAGCCCCGTATTACCCTGGCACAATCGCACGTACACCCTGGCACAGCGGTTTGGCCTGGTGGCACTAAAGCTCCCGCTTCTCACATGGAGGGCCCAGGTTCGTTCTCCGGCGGGTGGGAGGATAGTTTTTGACGCAACTTTCCTTAAACTGTCGTCCTGTTCACCTAGCAGTAAGAGGTACCAGGGGTGTTAGTTGACTGGTGTGGGTGGAGGGAATCCTGGGTGTTAGTGGACTGGTGGGTCGGTGCATCCTGGGAGGTCAAGAATGAAGACAACCAAAAAATGGAAATAAGTTAGACAGTTAATAGGTGAGCACTGACTTTCTTGGGTTATTACTGGATGGATAACCTACGGGGTTAAAAATCCGTACAAAATCTTATCTTATCTTATATTACACCTTGGCACAGCCACGTACACCTTGGCATCCACAGTACACCTTGGCACAGCCACGTCACCTTGGCACCACAACATACACCTTGGCACACACGTACAACCTTGGCACAGGCCTCGTACACTTATTGGCCACAGCCACGTACACCTTGGCACAGCCAGGTACACTTGGCACAGGCCAGGTACACCTTGGACACAGCCAGTACTCCTTGGCACCGCCACGTTCACCCTGGTACAACCATGATAAACCGGTACAAACCATGTACACCATGGTAAAAACAATGTAACCCTGGTACATACCATGTACACCCTGGTACAACCATGCACACACTGGTTACAACTTGTACACCCTGGTACAACCATGTAACCTGGTACAACATGTAAACCCTGGTACAAAACACATGTAAACTTAGTACAAACCATGTACACCCTAGTACAACCATGTACACCCTGGTACAACCATGTACACCCTGGTACAACCATGTACACCCTGGTACAACCATGTACACCCTGGTACAACCATGCACACCCTGGTACAACCATGCACACCCTGGTACAACATTACACCCTGGTAAACCATGTTACAACCTGGTACAACCTATGCACAACCATGGTTCAACCATGTACTCCCTGGTACAAACAATGCACACTGTACAACCATGACACACCTGGTACAACCATGTACACCCTGGTACAACCATGTACACCCTGGTACAACCATGTACACCCTGGTACAACCATGTACACCCTAGTACAACCATGTACACCCTGGTACAACCATGTACACCCTGGTACAACCAATGTTCACCTGTACAACCAGCCACACCCTGGTTCATCCAGTGTACACCCTGGTTACAACCAGGTACACCCTGGTACAACCATGAATTGTACAACCTGGTACAAACCATGTCACCCTGGTACAACCATGTTACACTGGTACAACCATGTAACCCTGGTACCACCCATGTACCACCCTGGTCAACCATGACACCCTGGTACAACCTGTACACCCGGGTTCAAACCATGTACACACCTGGTAATCCATGTAACACCATGGTACAACCATGCAAACCCTGGTACAACCATGTATAACCTGGGTACAACATGTAACAACCGGTACACCATGTACACCCTGGTACAACCATGCACACCCGGTACAACCATGTTCACCCTGGTAATATTCATGTACACCCTGGTACACCTTGTACACCCTGGTACAAACATGTACACCCTGGTACTACCATGAACACCCTGTACATACCATGAACACCCTGGTACAAGCCTTGTACCCTGGTACAAACCATGTACACCTGGTACAACCGTACAACCCTGGTTCATCCATGTACACCCTGGTACAAACCATGTTACACCTGGTACAACCATTACACCTGGTACAACCATGTACACCCTGGTACAACCATGTACACCCTGGTACAACCATGCACACCCTGGTACAACCATGTACACCCTGGTACAACCATGTACACCCTGGTACAACCATGTACACATGGTACACCATGCACACCTGGTTTTCAACCCATGTACACCCTGGTACAACCATGTACACCCTGGTACAACCATGTACACCCTGGTACAACCATGCACACCCTGGTACAACCATGTACACCCTGGTACAACCATGTACACCCTGGTACAACCATGTACACCCTGGTACAAACATGTACACCCTGGTACAACCATGTACACCCTGGTACTACCATGCACTCCCTGGTACAAAACATGTACACTTGTACAACCATGTTACACCCTGGTACACACCATGTATACCCTGCGTAAACCATTGTTACCACCTGGTACAACCATGCTACACCTGGTACAACATGTCACCTGGTACAACCATGTACACCTGGTACAACATGTACACCCTGGTACAACCATGTACACCCTGGTACAACCATGTACTACCTGAGGAAGCCTGGAGACTCTGGCTGCCCCTACATTTCCCCCCTCTACTGCCGCCCTGCCACCGCCCCCTGCCACCCTGGGTGGCAGCCCCAGCTTCAGGGACCTCAGACACGCCGCCATCAAAACCCAGCGCCTCAAAAACCTCTAAAAAAACGACGAAATAAACACCAAGACCAAGACCAGACCGGCAAGCCAGGTTCCAAATACTATTTCCTAAGAGGACGACGCAACTAAATATTACCCTATTCTGAACCTTGTTCACCTTTTTATTGCGGATATTACAGCCTATATATTTTGTAAATTATATAAAAATTATGGGAATTATAAAATTAGTCATTTTTTTTTTATTATTGCACTGGTAGATGACGCACCTAATAGATTCATCATTTTCACCTTATTTCACTGTTTCCACTATTTTCAAAACCTATATACACGTTTATATTATTTTAAAAATATTTAACATTAGGGAATTTTAATTATACACTAACTTGTTATTACGGCGCTGTTAGACGGGGACGGACCCTAAAAGTTCACTATTTTCAAATTTTTCACCTTTTTTAGCCTTTATAAATTTATATATATACATTGTTTTTAATAAAACGTGGAGAAATAGAATCAGTCCAAAAATAGTTATTACGGCACGGATGGCAGCGACGCACTTATAATCACAATTTTCCCTTATTTCGACTTATTTCACCTATTTCCTCGCATATATAATAACAATAATAATTTATAAATATATTTATTTTATCACCAAACAGATATATAAACGTTGGAAAGATAATCAGTATATAATACGTTAATTAGGCGATTGCTGGCAGTTGAATAATTATTTGAAATACAAAAATTTACCCCTCCTGACAACATGACGTTTAATTAATGTGTTATATAATAATAATAATAATAATAATTAATAACAATAATTCAAAGATTTATGTGGATTAAAATAAAGGTTGGATGAGGAAAAAGTGGGTCATAAAATAAGCGTTGTATAATCATGGAGAAGAGAGGAGTGTGGAGGAGAGAGAGAGATTTGGGAGATGTTAGTGAATGTATAGGAGCTTTGAACCAAGTGAGAGGAGTAATTGTGGTAGGGATCTTGAATGCTAAAGTAGGAAGAAACTTTTTAGAGACGTGTATGGTGGTAAGTTTTGGGGGTGCCAGGTGTAAAGTGATTAAATGGGAGCCCTTTGATTTGAATTTTGATAAGAAGGGGTTTAGTTATTAAGGTAATATGTATTTTTAAGAAAAAGAGGATAAATAATAAGTATACAAAGATATGATTAGGCATAATGACAGTAAGTTTGTTGGATAAGTATCGGTATTTAAAAGCGACTGTTGTGTAGACTTCAGGATGTACATGTTTATAGAGGGGCCAAGATATCTTCAGTCACTTTTTAGTTGTAGCTACATGAGAGTGAAGGTAGATGGGATACAAGGAGAATAGAAGCATCAGGGAAGAGAGAGGTGACAGGTTTATTTAAACTTTAAAAGAGGAGGCAGTTAGGGTAAGATATAAACAGCTATTGGTGGATAGATTGGGCTTAATGAGAGCATAGGCAATGGATCAAGATGTATGGGTATAGGTTGAATGAAAAGTATGTTAGAGTGGTGAGGATGGGTATTTAAATGGAGAGTTAGAGGTATCGGGAAGATGGAGGGAATAGTTTTGAGGAATTGTTAATGTTGATGAAGATTACGGAAAGCTGTGATTTCATGTATAGGCAAGGAGGAATAACCTCTTGTAGGAGTGAGGACAGAGCCAGTGTGAGCGTGGGGAAAGTTCGTGAGGCGCAGGTAAAAAATAATGGGGGTAAGACTGCCGGGATTGATGGGATAAAGATAGAATTGTTAAAAGCAGGTGGGGATAATAGTTTTGGAGTGGTTGGTGCAATTATTTAATACATATGTATGGAAGAGGGGTAAGGTACTAGGGACTTGGCAAGAGAGGCTTGCATAGTTCCTTTGTATAAAGGCAAAGGGTTAAAAGAGAGTGCAAAAATTTTAGGGGATTAGCTCTTGTTGGTGTATACCTGGTTAAAGTGTATGGTAGAGTTATAATGAAAGAATTAAGAGTAGACGGAGAATAGGATAGCTGATGAACAAGGAGGCTTTAGGATAGGTAGGGTGTGTGGACCAGGTGTTCTACTGTGAAAACATATTAAGTGAACAGTATTTATATAAGGCTATAGAAGGGTTTTGTGGCATTTATGGATTTGGAGAAAAAGCATATGACAGGTGGATAGGGGGGCAATGTGGCAGATGTATGCAAGTGTATGGATGTAGGAGAGTAGGTTTCTGAAAAGCAGTGAAGAGTTTTTCCGAGGATAGTGAGGCTACAAGTTAGAGTATGTATGGAAAAGAGGGAAATTTTTTCCAGCTAAAAGTGGGCCTTTAGACATTGTTGTATGATGTCACCGTGGTTTATTTAATATATTTATGATGGGGTTTGTAAGAGAAGTAAATGTGAGGGTCCTTGGACAAGAGGCGTGGAGTTAACAGATAATGATAACACACAAAGTGGGGAGAAAAGTGGGAGTTGTTCACAGCTGGCTCCTTTGCTGAATAACACTGTGCTTCTTGGTAGATTCTGAAGTGAAGTGCAGAGATTGGTGGATGAATTTGGCTTAGGGTATGCAAAAGAAGAAAATTAAAGGTGAATTACAGGAAAAGGACGTTAAGGTATGAGGCATACAAAAAGATTAGGGGATGAAAGACTTGGATATCAGTTTGGAGGGAGAGAGTATGGAGGAGGTGAACTATTCTGTATTTGGGAGTGACGTGTCAGCGGGTTTGGGTCTATGAAAGATGTGAGTGGAATCATAGAATTGATGAGGGGGAAAAAGAGTGAGTTGTGCAATTAGGGTCTGTGGAGACAAAGAACTTTGTCCCTTGTTTTTTTCTCGGAGGGCAAAGGGGAATGTATGAGAGTATAGTTTTCCAAGCTCTTATATGGGTGTGAAGTGGGGCGTTGTAATGAAAAGTTGCGCGAGTAGAAGGCCTGGAGGAAGTGGAGATGTATGTCTGAGGGCAATTGTGTGTGATGGAGTTGAATATAATGCGAGAATTCGTAGTTTTGGAAGTTAGGAGGAGGTGCGGGATTACCAAAATGTTGTCCAGAGGGACTGAGGGAAGGCGTTTGTTGAGGTGGATTCCGGACATTGTAAGAGAGAATGGAGCGAAGCAGTAATGACTCCAAGAGTGTAGTTGTCTGTAGGTGGAAAGAAGGGGGGGTAGGGGTCGGCCTAGAAGGTTGGAGGGAGGGGGTTTAAAGGAGGTTTTGTAGTGCGAGGGGCTGGACTCCAGCAGGATGCGTGTCGTGTGTTTGATAGGGAGTGATTGGAGACAAAAGAGTTTTTAAACTTGACGTGCTGTTGGAGTGTGAGCAACAGTAACATTTATGAAGGGATTCAGGGAAACCGGCCAGGCGGATTGAGTCCGGAGATGGGAAGTACAGTGCCTGCATTCTGAAGGAGGGGTGTTAATTGTTGCAGTTTTAAAAAAATGTAGTGTAAAGCACCCTTCTGGAAAGACAGAGATGGACGGAATGATGTGAATGAACAGTTTCTTCTTTTTCGGGCCACCCTGCCATTGGTGGGAATCGGCAGTGTGATATAATAATAATAATAAAATATATAATCGATACATTCAGTTAAAGAAATTTTCAACAGGGGTAATGACGAACGGACCAGTTGTGGATGCAATAGCTCAGGGCAGGCACCTACCCTACCCTAAAAGGGCGGTAACATGCTTCTCTGCCTGACCACGGTATGAGTGCGGTTGTGCTTACTGCACCCCTCTGCTGTTTGTAGGCGAGCTCCCTTGTCAGTACCTGGCTGTTGCAGCGGTTGAAATTGATGCTGTCACGCCTTTGTAAAAACATAGGTGCTCTGTAGATTGTCAAGATGGCAGTTAGTCTGAGACAGTCGGATAAATACTGCAGGCATTGAGCTACCTTAAAGGAACGTTAACGCCTAGTTCTGCGCAAGTCTTATTGCCAAAGATCATCGGGAGACCTATGGCATACAATGATAGTGACTTGATATGTGTGTAGCATTAAACGGATGGCCAAAGAATTTTCGTCAAACTGCTATCAGCTACGATTTATGAATCGTTAGTCACCAGTTTCAGGAAGTAAGTCTTAGCGTTCAAACAGCTGTCAGTGTAAGAATGATAGATGTTTCACGGCATTGTAAGTGGATCAAGTTATGCATACGATCATTTGAGGCGGACGAGGTGGTATAGGAAAAAGTTTTTGTGATGTATGGGAGTGCTCATTTTGTCAACATGGTACGTGGGCAGAAGGTGCCTATGATGGTTTTCAGAGGGTTCTTTCAACCTCAAAATGACTTTGAGGCACCCAATAGTCATGTGTATCTACAAGATTTCAGGATTGAGGTATTTGGTATTTTACCAGGACAACTGACGTACATGACGCCTATGTGGGTGAGTAATGATCCATAGCGGCGACCTGTAACAAGAAATAGACGTGGTCCTGGACCTTTGGTGGACGTCGCAGCCCCTGCCTTCAAAGGTGGCAGGTGAGAAACAAAACATCGGATGGAGGGCGTTGTGGTGTTTTGTGGAGCGAAGAAGTGGTTCAGGCTCACAGTGACTGGCGGTGAGTTTGGAGTCCCTCCCCCGCTGCTGATCTAGGTATCGTCTCCTGTGGATAAGGAGGAGCAGCAATTAAGGAGAAGGTTCTTGAGATTGAGGAGGAATTGGTGGAGGTGTCTGAAGAACTTTGTCACCGCCAGAGCAGAGAGGGACGTTACGTCGAGCATGGTGTCATCGGAGAGTCGTCGCTTCCAGAAAGTCGGAGACATGATAGTTTGGGACGTGATGGATGGTATGGAGTCGTCCGTTGAATCCATTAACCATTCTCAGGTAGAGGAGGTGGTTCATCGGAGGCAACATTGCGAACCAAGAAATGTGTAACATGACGGTCACGAGAAAAGAGGGCGGCTACGTAAGATTCTGATGACGTCCTTACGACCTGCACAAAGGGCCTGGGAAAACAGACTGAGAGTGAAGTGTCGAAGTCTTAGTGGTGTAGGAGGTGGTAGCCATGATAGGAGGGCACGGAAGAAGGAAGATGGGGGGAAGAAAAGAGAGCACTCTGAAGGTGCCAAACTA